ACCAGCTTTTCGTCCCTGTTAAGTAACCATACATGAGATAATTTTATGTGTCAAGACACTAGCTCCGCTATAAAAAAACGATTCTTCAATATAAATACCACAAGAGTATCATAATCGCTTTCCGGAACTTGGAATTGATCCGAATCAAGATCAATTACGCTGATACACAATGGATCATCATAGGTCAAGTTTTTAACATCTATTTTACTTATTTTCTCAAAAAGATATTCGTGTGCTGGAGATTTTTCATTCTAGTAGAAAATAGAGTTACTAACTGATTTATCATTATTTGGTCGAAAAAATCTCAATTACCTTAATTTTTTCTTTTATGGTGCCTATATTACTCAAAGCCTTCTCTTTCCAGTCGATTTGTTCTATAAATTTACCACGTAATAAATCAGCATCTAACAACGACTTAAGCTCATTCCAGATACAACGCATCTATAATAATAAAAAAAGATTGAGTTATAAAATTCCGGAATTAATCATCAATTTTTTTTTCAGATAACCCAACCAATCAGAATTTGCCATGGCTTGCGGGTACCCATACTGTCTATATTCAACATAATAGTGTAATGAAGAAGATTGTCGCTGGAATCTACCGCTTACCCAACTCCATTACACTAAATTAAGTCTTGACAGCTTATACTCATCATTTTTATATAACAATAGTGGTATATTATTTTGATTAAAAATACCTTGTTATCATCTCGTAAGGACTTGAAATGAAGTTTACGATCATTGCCGAGATTTTTAATCTCCATTTCTCTCAATAGGCTCATAAGACGTCCACAATCTATTTCCTCCGTTTGCACTTCATAATGACTCCACAATTCATGGAAAATTCTAGAGATTGTGTCACCGGAATGCGAATTGGACCTTAATTCGCTGATCAATAACCCTGAAAATCCGGAGTGATATTTTATATCTTATTCTTATTTTATTTGTATCATTTATTTATTTATTTATTATTTTTAGTTATTCATTATTTATTTTTGGTTATTTATTTTATCTGTTATTTGTTTTTGGTTTTTATTTTATTTTGTTTTCTATTTGTAATAATTTCCGAATGATTTAATTTAATTATATGAGTTCGTGTTACATTCCGCAGAAGTAATTAATTAGTAACACGTTCGCATTAGACCTTTATTTAGAAGAAATTAATGAAGATTATCCTGAATCAGGATATATATCTTAGATTAGGAGAATTATCCTGTGTACAAAGAAGGATAATTATCCTGGAAAGAGAGAATTATCCTAACTTAGGAGAATTATCTTGAATTAGGATAAATATCTTAATCTAGGCTAATTATCCTAAACTAGGATACATATAATCAAACATGTATATAAGGAATGAGAATTCGCTGTAATTGAAAAATAACTTTGTAACAAATTAACTTAATAATAAGTTAATAATTAGTTTCGACTAAATACAAATTAAATAAATCATTTTTATCAAATCACTAAAACAAAATTATTCGCTAATAAATCTAATTCGTTAGTATTAGCCTATTCATTCTGATCCACATAAAATAATAAAAATTTGTTATCATCAATTAAAATACGCTCTCCCAAAAATAATTGGTGACATTATACCTTCTTGTTCATCCTCTTTGATTGCAACAATTCATTAAATTTTTTAAATAGTTAACAACAACAATAATAGTAACAATAGTGGATTATAGATGAGAGAGGAAGGGCTATCCATGATAATGGAAGATAAACTCTTGCTTGCAAATATTATTATTATTTCTTTGTATTGTGATCAAGTTTTGTTATTTAAACTTTATATACTAAATTCTTGGATAATATTTTATTTATTAGTAAAAGTTATTTAAACACATGCATGTATATATCTTTGGAAGAACAATGTACTAGCAGGAGGTTTGATTATTACAATGGTCGTCAATGCACATTTATATATATATATGTATGTAATTTTCTAAAAATTTTTTTTTTTTAAAAATGGTGATTGATAACAAACAAAATTGTTTTGTGTGGATTAGGTTTGAATGAGCAATCTTACTGACAAATAGTTTTGAATATTTATTTAATTATTTGAGTGTTAATTGTTATTTTCTTTTATTCAAAAGAATTGTTTTGAAGGTAGGTTGTTTATACATTTTGATTAATTAATGTTATTAACATTTTGTAAATCTATTGTTTTAAATATACAATATATGTGATTATTTTATGATAATTGCTTTATACCTAAGTATGTAAATATATTCTTGTATCAACTTGAAATTAACTTATTCCATTCAAAACTAAATTCCCCTCCTATATTAATATAAATTTATTTTGTTTTCAAATTGCGTAATGATCATCAAGCCAATAAAATTTAATTTTTGTGTGATATATGGAAGGGAAATCGTCACAAATTTAGCCAATGAAATCAAATGTCCATTATGCTATGGAGCCTACCCTTAAGGGTAGAGTATACGTAACACGAATCTACTATGATCTACAATGGCTAATTTTGATTTTATCTGGTTAAAAAAGTAAGCCGCATTATTAAAGACAAATAAAAAATAAATAAAATTGTACAAATTTTATACCTTTAGCTTCTCAAGATTCTGAGTTTTAATTTAATATACAAACCATAAAAAATTATTCTATTCTTGCTAGAGTTATTACAACTTTAAAGTCAAACCTATTTTCAGATTACTAATTAAAATTCTCAGATTACTAATTAAACATAGTAAAATTATAAGTGAACGTATAGAAACGCTAAGTGAATGCTAATTAAACAATATACAAACACTGATTAAGATATTAAAACTGTAAGAGAATATATAAATTCTAATTAAATTATAAATATTTTATCAATGCATGCAGGACCCCGGAAACTTCTAATTGAGGTCCCAAGCAAACCAAGGGTAAAAAACATATAGAAAAGTGAAAAATGTCACTGTTATTGATAGGGTAAAATTACTATGGATACATTAAAAGGTCCAAGACTTTTAAGGGTAAAAAATTTTTATGTCCAATGAAGAATGGGTAAAATTGATATAAAATTTTTTTTAAGGTCGCTATTATGTTTTGGGCAAATCAATTAGTAAAATTTTTAAGGGCTACACACATGCACAAAAATTAAAATTAATTGGAGAATAATAAAATTCAAACCACACTTAATTTCCCAATATTATACATTAAAAAAGCAAAAGCAAAAGTTATAATAGACTCAAATTTATCTAATGATGGTATAAATTTAGCACAAACTATTAACAAAAAATGCGAATTCATAGAGTATAATGATAATGATGATGACAGTTGTGTAGTAGAATGTAATAATGATATAGATTTAGCACAAACTATTAACAAAAAACACAAATTCATAGAGTATATTAATGACAATGTCGTCGCTGGATGAGGATGTATCTCCCTCCGGATTGATTTCTCTCATTGAGATATCGCCACTGCATTGGCTCAAATGCTAAAAAAAGTTAAAAAATCCAATACTAAAAATGGTCTAATATATATAATATCTCTTAATACCAAACTAAGACCAGTCTTAAGACCAAAAAATACATAAATACTAATCAATTTACTTTCCAAATAATCAAAAAACATCAAAATAGATAAAATCAAAAAGTGGTCCAATGGTCCAAGGATGAATATCAATTTCTAGAGAAAACTATGCTCCCTATATATAATTTTTGCCAGAATTTCCTAAGACCTTTGGACCAATCCAAGAATTATAGCAGGAAAGCATTATTTCCATAGCTAGAAGGCTAAATCAGATACTAAGCTGGTCCAAAGACCCCTTTCAGACCGGTTAGATCAATTTGGACCAATTTTCTCTATACTTTATGTGTAAAAAACAAATTGGGTTTCCAGTTTGGACCAATTTTCTCTATACTTTATGTATAAAAAACGAATTGTTAGATCAATTTGGACCAATTTTCTCTATACTTTATGTGTAAAAAAACAAATTGAATTAACCCATGTTATACATATTACATAAAAAAATATCCCGTGCAAAAATCAAATTGAATTAATCTGCATAATAGGTATTACATAAAAAATTTTATCCGAATAACTAACCAAAGAATTAAACAAATCCAGGTACAAAGTATTATTATCAAAAAATGAGTAGTATATTAGGTACACCTGAAATTCTAGAAAATATATTCAGCTATTTACCTACTACATCCTTAGTTAGATTAACCTATGTTAACAAATTATGGAGACTAGAGGCCAGGCATAAACTTTATCAAAACCGCACTGAAATTATATATAAAACACTGAAGTGGTTTTTAAGTACATTTAGAATTTATGGAGAAATGCATTCGGATTTAAGGCTTCAATGCACCCAATCCTTAATCAAAGTTACAAAATTCCGGCTTGCCTTTAATATCAATCTTAGAACAGAATTATTCATTATAAGAAATCAATTGAAAGTCCAATATAAAGCTATAAAAGCAAAATGCGCTGTTGCAGAAAAGAATTATTTAGAAGCCAATGAGTTATTTTATGCAGATCCAGGGAATATAGATAAATATGCACTTGCTCGAAGGTTGGAGTTCAAGCATGCAAAGCTGGATGATTATAAATCCTATGTTCATAGGGATTTAATTAACTTTGAATATTTCCTAGTGAGGTATAATTATATTGTATATCCAGATGAAATTAACCGCATTTATGATAAATGCATATTTTAATTAAAATAATTGAATTATAACCAGATACTAAGATTTTTGATTATTTATAATCTTCTTAGCAAGTTGCAATGCTTTTTTTCGTTCTTTAGCTTTTTCCTTTTTTTCTCTGGCAATAGCTTCTTCAGCAGGAGTCTTTAATTTAATCGATCCATCCTTAGATACAAAGGTATGTTTATTGGTACCACAAACAACACATTTACCAATAAACCGATTTTGTCCATTTCCTGTAGTTTCCAATTTCTCAGATGCTGAATTTGTTTTAGCTCGGCACTTTACACAATATGTTTGAACCATCTTTTTGAACTTAAGATACATACATTCAAATAGGATTTCAAAATGTCAACACCAGTAGATTGTTATTATAAATACTATTCATTATCTGGGGTACCATCTAAACTGCTAAAAAATGAAGAACATTTCAATCTCCACATTAGACCTAAAAAAGAAAAAAAATAGGAACAACCAAAAGTAATTGTCTGGAAGGCCAATGCAGTACAGGATTCAGATTTACTTGAATTACCAATGGATCCAAAAGGATACCGGTATTCCCATATAGTTGTTGATGTTTCAACTCAGGATTTGGATGGAAATCCGCTCAAAAGTAAAGATGCTGAAACAGTTCTAGATTCATTCAAAAGGATCTATCAATGAGGTCATGTAAAATTTCCTACTTTCAGATTAAATACCGATACTGGAAAGGAATTTGATAATTCTTTAGTCCGAAATTATTTCAGAAAAGAGGTTAAGGTGCTAATGAAATTTGGATTTCCTGGAAAACATAGACAGCAATGCTTTGTTGAAAAAACTAATCAAGAAATCCAGAGGCCTATATTGAATCGAATGACCGCACAAGAAATGAAAACCGGTATAACTTCTGTGGAATGGTCTGAAGATTATCCTATTCTAATAGAAGCTCTTAGAGAGAAATGGAAACAAAATCCTCCTCCTATTCCAGAAGGCCTTCCTAGAATTACTGATAAAGATGAATTGCTACAAGAAGGAACATGAGTCAGAGTAATGTTGTTTGAGCCTAAATCAGTACTTGGTAAAAAATTACATGGTAAATTCCACACAGGTGATATTAGGTGGGATCCAGAAATTCGAGTAATAAAAAAACTTATGCTAAGCCCAGAACAACCTCCAACATACCTTGTAAATGGTCCTCATGGAAGATTAGGTGTATCTCGTTGTGCATATACTAGAAAGCAACTTCAAGTAGTTCCAGATAATGAAAACCCGCCTCCAGATTCAGTAATTCATGGAAAACAAGATAAATTTATTCCTGAAAAAATTCTTAAGCAAAGAACTTATAAAGGTAAAAAACAATACCTTGTTAAATGGTGCCGATATCCTGAAAATGAATCAACTTGGGAACCAGCAAATAGATTCAAAGAAGATGCACCCCATCTTGTAAATGAATTTCTGGAAGTTAGCAGGGCGTAAAAAAATAATTGTATTCTAAATATTCTTTTTTTCTGAAATACTTGACTAATTATATAATGCTTCCAATACTGGCGAGTTTACTTTTTTGTATTCATTTTTTGATGGAATTATAGGGATAAATAAGTCCTTTCCATTACAAGTAATAGCCATATGCTTTCTAGATTCAAGTAAATCATAGTTATATTCTCTAAGACGAGGTCGGTTCAAAATAAGCTCATGATATGGATAGTTTGCAATTACAGCAAAATCATCTGTTATAGTACATCCTGGTGCCAAAGTTATTTTAACGTTTTTAACAGTACCTAATGATTTAGTGTTAGTTGATGCTCCAGAAAGTTTGCAAATTTTATTTGTATCAAGTATTAATCCAAGTTCTTTATAAATCTCTTCAGGCATAACAGACTTATTGCAACATGAATCTATAAGAATTGGGAGTTTTAATTTTCCCTCTACTACACCTTCAACTGATGCTAAATCTTTTTTATTATCTAGGCGCAAAAGATCAATATCCATAGAATCATCAGAATAAGCTTCACTAAACTTCTGAATTTCTTTGCTTGTAGTTTTCTTAGTTAATCCCAAACCAGTTAATTCCTCTATCATGAATAATTTTTCTCAAACTCGCAGTATCAATTGATGACCCCTTAATTTGCAATTCTTTTTTACTGCCTTTGGCCTTAGTAGGATTTTCAGTTATTTTTTTTTTCGAACTAATTGGAGAGTATATTCATCATCATTAGTTGCAATTTCCCGAACTAAATTAGTATCCATAGCATCAGGATCATTAATATTAAGATTATTAAATAGACCAGCAATTCCAGCAATTTCCTTATCAAGTTTTTGTTGCTCAATTCATTCAGCAATTCTATTTGCTATTCTCTCATTACGTTTTTTATCTTTGTTTTCATATTGTTGCATAACTCTTAATCTAGCTTCAGCCTTATCATAGGAATTTAATCCTTTTTTATCTCTATAAGTATCTGGAAGGCCAGCAGGAAGAAAATTATTGGAATCATAGGGTTCATAGGGTTCATCTAAATCATCATTAAGATTATGATCATTTAAGAATTTATTCCATTTCTCAATAGAAGCATTTGTTTGGACTTGTTTCTCGGAATTATCTAATATTGTCATTCCTTTTGCTGGAGCCTTTATAACTGTTGGAATTTTTGCTTGTAATTCCTGAATTTGAGTTTGAAAATTTTGCATAATTTTTTCAGTAATACTCTTGATCATTCTATCCACATCTTCTGGTGAAAACCCTGAACTTGGTTTATGTACTTGGCTTTTATAGTCAGTATCTCCTGTTCTCTTGGATAAGCCTATTTTCATTTCAGATTTGCGTTTTTCAACTTTTTCTAAATTTTTAACTAACTCACTTACAGTTTTTTCAGCACCAATTCATTCCACTTCAAGTTGATTGTCTGGAGATAGCCCCCTAAAGAATTGATGATTAACTACTTCATCACCAAAATTCAGTAGTTTGCCATATTTTTTAACTTTTTCATAGAAAGTTTTAACCAGATCATTACCTTGATCAAGAGTACCAAATTGCACTTTGCGTCTTTCTTCTAATACTGAAGGATAGAAGTTTTCAAAGTAGTAAATAGCTTGACCAAGCTGAATTCCATTTAATATTATAGGAACAGCACCACTAGCACCAGTAAATCTAGGCGCATCATCTGTAGGTGCTCCACCAGAATTAGTCCAATCTTCTGCAAAAGCTTTTCTTGGGACCATTCTAGCCTCTACTGCCCCTACTGTAATTGCATTATTTCCAGGATGATTTGCAAAGGCATGTGCTGAAGAATGTGGTCTAAAACTATTAGAAGTATTCATCTGCACCATAGTTCTAGCTTGAAGATTTGCTGTAGTATTTACAGTAGTATTGTCATATATATTAGTTAACATCCAATTTTTTTCTGAGTATTTCTTCATCATACCAATCACCAGCAGGTCCAGACAAAGCACTTCGGAATAGACCTGTAGCTTGAACTCTTTGTGTGTTTTCTCTTACATTAATATTAATACTATCTAGAAACCCATGAAATCTCCTGACAAAAGTATTAATATCCTCATCCATACCGCCTGAAAAATTAGGTATTGCTACTGAAACTCCAGCCATGTTGATTTTAATATGAATATCAAGGCTTCAATTTGAAAAGCCTACGAGCCAAATAACATCAGGATTTCTGGCTCTTTGTTTCCATTTTACATATTTTTGTTGGAATATTTGTAATTGCCCAACAGGGTTTTTGGCTCTTTGTTTCCATTTTATGTGTTTTTGTTGGAACATTTGTAATCGTCCATTATGGTAGTTATAGGCCTGGACAAGTGGATTGTGGATATTATTAATAAATTGATCCCGAGCATTAACAAATTGAATATGAGTATTATTAAGCTGAGCATGAGCGACATTAAGCTGAAGAAAATCCTGATGAAGTTGATTAAGATCATTCTGGGCCTGTGCAAGCTGATTATTCACCTGATTGAATGCCTGAAGATTTTGCTGTAATTGGGCCTGAAGTGGCGCTAATTGATCATCATTCCATTTAGCAATATCTCGGAGCCTATGTGTAAATGTAGTAATTTCATTAAGCTTATTTACTGCAGTCCTCTGGTTTAGAGTAGAATTATCCGGCCTTTGTATGAACTCATCAAGACTTCTGCATGCAGAATTAATTCTATCAGTACTTACATCAATCTCATTTGGACTAGGTGGCTGTATTTGGCATTGAGAAGACATTTTTGGCTTCTTATTAAGTGTTGAAATTTTATCTTCTAATGCTATAAATTGTTCTTCTCTAAAAACGATAAATTTTTCTTTAGACTCTATATCCTGTAAAGCCTTCCGGAGTTGAATTGATAGATTTTTATTATCCTTTTTCAAAGATTCAATTTGTGCTTCATGTTGTATTAGGGATTTACCCAAATAATGAATTTCTAAGTTGCTATGCTCAAGATCTCGCACTAATGATTTAATTCTAGTTTCATTATTTAGATATGATCTCATCATCCTCAGCCAACTGTTTGCACAATTCTCTATTAGTCCAAGCAATTTCAGCTGTTGGGCAATTTGAAGTACTAAACCTTCGATTCATGATCCAATTAAAGATATAAATCTATAACTCTAATAGCAACTATGGAATATTTTGTGTACAACATTGATGAATACCAACCTTTGAAACAGGGAAATGAATTTGCACCAATATCGCCATTTCGAATGGTTGTATCTGGAAGTTCTGATTCAGGCAAAACCACTATGATCCTGAATCTTATAATGGGTACTAAAAAGGTAGATAAAGAAAATGGTTCTCGATATATTTTATGCAATGATATAATTTTAATTGCCAAATTTCCTGATGAGCCAAAATGGAATATTGTTAGAGATTTTTTTTAATGATCTTGCAAAAACTGAGGATGTATCATTTAAGGCATTATCTCCTTCTGAAATTCCAGATATCGATACATTTAATCCTGAAAGATCTACTGTTGTAATATTTGAAGATCTTATGCACGAATCTAAAAAAATACAGGAACAAATTGCTAAATATTTTACTCATGGACGCCATAGGAATATATCCCCAATATATGTAGCACAAAGATTCTTTGCCATTTACAAAACAATTCGGGATAATGCTACTTATATCTCACTTCATAGAGGAGGAGGATCCATATCTGATCTCAAAAATATTATAAGTCAATATACAGAGCACTCAGATCATCTAGGATCAATCATAGATGATCTAACATCAAAACGAGAATTTATTGTGTTTGATCTTAGACGGTCCAAGAATGATCCACTATCAATCAGAGTTCGATGGGATAAACCATTAGAAGTCCCAGATGGATTGAAAACTCAAATTTCTGATTCTTCATCAATTAATATTATAGATGAGTTATCCCAGAGTAAATTTAGCATTGCAGGTAAAGAAGCAATAACACAAGCTAAAAAAGAAAATTGCATTGTAGAGTTTGCTGGAAATTTTCCTTTACCACCTGAACGTAAAAAATTATTGGCTAATAATGTAATTGCTAAAAATAGCAATATGTGGGCCAGATTAGTATATTGAGAAGCTTTTGGGGTAAAAAATAAAGAACTTGGTGCTGGATGGCACGATTTTGCTCAAAAAATCAAAGAGAGAGTAAAGCTATTACAGAATAATGAAATTTCTATACCTCAAGTTGATAAATCCCGTCCAGATAAAAATTCATATTTTCTTCATTATAAAGATCTTTTGGATTCAAGGCCATTGGATGAAAAAAGATATATAGAGGGATGTAAAATACTTACCTGGCTTCTTTCAAATGGCCATATAGATCAGAAAATACATCATGTTGGGATCAAAGAATTGAATGATTCCCAATAATTAAAAGATTAAATTTCTGAAGGCTCAAATTCCGTTTTTTTGGAATATTTCTGATAATTCATCTTTTGATGCACGAACTATCACTAAAGATCTCCACTTGCCATTATGCTTTTCTCTTGTTATTAATGTTTTTAAACCTAAAGCTGTAAATGCTCTTGAAACTTGATTTTTACTGAGAGGATTATCTACACTATCCGCATAACTATTATAGAAGTTTGTAAAAGTTTCGTTTATTTCAAAGTATTCATTTTCAGAAACTTATAAAATTGTATTTCTTTACTGGAACTAGACGAATTGTTGATAAGCTCTAATAACCATAATTTGATATATTCAATATCATATGATCGATTATGATTTTCTATCATTTTTTCAAAAGCTTTTGATATAATTTTTTTTGGAGTTCTCCGATGTTTCCAACCTCTTTATATACTACTACTACACATTCTGGAAAATACTATTCATATTACGTTTTTATATTGCGTGTATGTGGAAATCATAATAATAGGTGTAAAAATGCGCGTATGGGCAATCATAATAAAAATGATTAATTTTCTATGGACGATCATACAAAAAAAAATTTATCGTTATCCCTCGTTATAGCGGACCCTCGTTGTAACTGATTTTAGACGTTATTACTAATACTAATCGGATTTTATATGCGGAGCCAAAATGTTTAAAAGTTCGTTATAGCACGTATTTAATTGATTACATTTCGTTATAACAAGGTTTGACTACAAATTGAATATACATTGCGCATAAATATACATAAAATGATTAATATAATAAAAAGATTAAAAAATCTCGAACTACTTGATGAAGCTATTGCCGACGAAGATGGCTCCTGGGGCAGTACACCGGAAGGATGGGAAATACATCTTGAAATATTAATAGCAGGTGGCGCAATCGAAGAGGACCTTTCATTGTATGATATAATTTACTACTCATGCCCATATGTTAAACTCGATGGTTCTATTTGCAATAATAATTGTAGACGAATAGAGGGATGTTATGAACATTGGAATAGAAAAAATAAAGGGCCTGGTAACCCATGTAAAATCGAATCGTGTAACAAATTTACCCGTAGTTCAACCGGACGTTGCCATACACATAGATAATAATTAATAACGGCGCAGTAATGTAAAAATTTCTAACATTCGTACCACGTAACTTGATTAGCGTTTTTAACATGGCATTTGCTTTCTTTTTCAAATTTGAGCGTTTTTAAAATTTTTGAAGCATTTTCTAGACAATTAATAGATGGTGGCTTTGTAGGATCTTCTTCTAGAATAAATCCATCTGTATGAACCCGTCTTACTTTATCTTTATAAGGCTTAATTTGACTAGATATTATTTTTCGTCCCTGTGCTAGAATAAATGGAGCAATTCGGGGATACTCACCTTTAAATAAATTTCCAGGGTTTGAAAATTGTAAAGTCCAATGTTTATCTCCTACTGGAATTATACTATCTAAAATTTCTCCTTCCGGGTTTTTGAATAAATCTACCATTGCCTTCACTAACATCATAGTAAGATTTATTTCTTTGGCACAATGCTCCCCATAAAGTATTTAGAACTCTTTTTGATACTTGTCCAATAATTCCCCTTTATTTTTTAGTTTGAAAAGGAAATTTACATATTCTCCAAATATAATTTTTCCCGGAATTCTTGTTTCCTTTTCATATACTAACGAATTTGGAAAATTATCCTGAATTAATTTAACTTGAAGTCCCAATGTTCTGGCATAGGATAAATCAGTATGAGTATATTTGTTACATTTATTATATCTGAATAATACTTTCATATCTTTTTTATATTCAACTTCTGCCCAATATATTCCATATATGGCATAATCACCATTTTCATGTTTTTTAACAAAATCTTTAAGTATTTGGAATTTTCCTTTACTAATTGGAAATGTAATTGCTGATTGCATAATACTGGGATATAAGCTAGTTTCATCATACTGCCGGCCATATCCTTTCCAATCATTTTGAGCCCAAATAATTCCACCCACCATTGCGTTAGAAATCCATATTGCTTCCATAGGATCTAATGCTTCATTGGCTCGAATTGCCTGGCTAAGTCTTTCAAGTAACCATAATGCAACTTTCTTATAACTGCCATGACACATGAATAAATCAATTGATAAGCCAATTTTTTTAGATTCTTCTAGCAAAATATTTCATTCCTCATGTATTCTTGTATAAGCTTCATCCAATGATTCATAAATTCCGGAATTTTTATCTTTGACAACTGGAATATAACAATTTTTCCCAAAACGAGATTTTGATTGTAACTTTTGCCATTCTATAGTAGTAACAGTGCATACATCTTTTCCATTAAAAATTTTTACAGTATTATTTATTCCATCCATTTTATATATTAAAGGTTCCTTTGGCTTAGAAGTAGTAGTATTAATTTTGAATTGATCTGGATTTGGTGTAATGGAATAATGCCCATCAGCAAGTGTAAGAGTAATTTGTCAATGAGCGGTATTTTTGGAAATTCGGGTAAAATCTCCAACTATATTAATTGCAATAGTTTTAGCTAATTTTTCTACTTTTTCAATAAGTTCTACTGGAACTGCTTCATTCCTTTGTAAGCCCAAAGCTTGCTTAAGAATTTCTGGCTTTTTGATAATTTTTGGAAGGTTTGAAAATGTTCCATAAGCATGATATAAACATTGATAAAGACAATCATTTAGACCGCTGTCTTTTTTGGCATTACAACCACCTGATAATGCTGGAGGATCCATCATGTAAATAATAAATCGATTATAAGATCCAGGATCTCCTCCACCTTCTGGCAATTGGGACTCATCATAATGATCTAGCAATGAAAATAATGATATATCTTCTCCATCCTCAAACCATGAGCCGGGTTTCCACTGCTCATAAGGAAGAAGAACTTGAAATTTTTTATTTGGAATTCTAGTCCTAAGTTTTTCTATTTCATGATTGATTCTTTTTCTGGAAAAACTTCTACCGGTATAATTGATTTCAGTGATATGTTGCCGAGTTGGCAATCTTTGATAGTTTATATTAATTGTATTGATTGGCATTTTATTTATTGTATATAATTATTCAATATGAAAATTTATAGAATATATAAAAAAAAATATATATCCACAAAATGTATACAAAGCAAATACCAGCATAGTACATTGGCTTAATTATTATGGAATTTATCTAGTTCCTTATAATCAATATATTCATTTTCTGAGAATTCCTCTTCCTCCTCAGCTAATGTACATTCTTTTTCATTAATGGTTTCTGGTTCTGTATTCCTATTATCCTGGCAATTTTCATCATATTCAGCACATAAGAGGTCCAAGCATTCATCAATAGAAAATTCTTCAATCGGGTTTTCTAGTTTTTGGGTTTCATTATTTTTTGTAATCTTTAGATGTTCAGGTTTTGGTGGAACTTTTGGCGACATCTTTTTAAACACTGGTACAGATGATTTACTACATTCAGCTGGCGATTCTAAAGACACTTCTGGTTTTTTATTTTTAAGAATTGGTTCATCAAATTCCAAACCAGATGATTCATATACTTCTTCTTCATCAAATTCTGAACCAGATGATTCATAGACTTCATCAGCATCATCATCATTTTCTAGTTTGGGAATTGAATTAGTAGAATTAGTAGAAGGGCTTTGAAGGGGCAAGTCTAAAGGCGCTTCTTCTGATGGGAATTTTTCAGGGGATTTCAATGATAATTCTATACTCTCTGTATGTTGGTATCCCTCCGGTTCATTAATATTTTCGGCTTCATCAATCATATTCTTTTTCTGGAATATGGTATAAATATCATTATATGAAGCTGAATACCATTGCATTTTTTTATTGGTTTTTTGATCTCCTACTCTTTTTGACTTAGTTTTTATCCCTAACTCTCCAATTGCACGAGTAAATTCCTGTACAATAGGCGGTCTTTTTTTGATGCCAAACATTTCCCGAAACCAGTTTTTATATGTATTATAAAGGTATGTAGAAGCTAAATCAAGATCTAAAGACTTGCATAAATATTCCTGCTTTATAAACTCATGGATTGGGTTAATATCCCTGCTTGTCATCATTAGCTTAGTTTTACTCATAGGGATTTTGCATTCATTAAAATCTGGATTAAGTTTTACATATTCTAGTGCATAAGAGTAGAATGCTTTTCCAACTTCTGGATTTTTTATAGCTTTATCCAGTGGGGCATAATAATGATCCATTCCAATTCCATTTTCAACATACTTTTCAGAGATATCCGGAATAAAATATCTTCGGTCATTTTTATCAAGACGAATTGTTTTACTATTATTACTGTTAATAATTAAATTTGTAATATTAGTAACCGAATATGGAGTCTTATGCTTTTCTTCTATCCTCAAAGAATCACTATCAATAAAGTCTTTGAGCCAATTTGCAAAAGTAATCCAATCAGTGGATTTTGAGTTAGACATTTCTTCAAGAACCAATAAAACCCTACCTTCTAATTCTTTGTTAAATTGTCCTGTAATAATTTTTTCATTGGTGGTTTTCATAGTAATCTTTGAGCCAAGGACCATTTCCCGAAGGAACCATGTAAGCATTGTTTTACCTGTTCCCGGACCAGAATAAAGGAACATTGATTTTTGCATTTTCTGGCCAATTGCTATCCTTAGAATTAATCCCATCATATAGAGTTCTTGCTTTTTATCTGATGAACAAAGTACTTCTCTCATATGGTTAAGAATTAAATTTACCTGATTACGAATTTCTTTGCTAAATTGATGGAATGGAGGTGGGTTGGAATGAAGAAATCCCGGAAAATTATTAATAATATATTCTTCAGATATTGGATGTTGATAAGTTAGTGGTTTAGTTGGATCAACATTAATAATGAAGATAGGCGTTTCCCTAAAGAACCAGTTTTGTATATTAAACTTTTCTACCCAATTGCCATGTTCAAATTCTGCTGTTTCATTCTGGATAAAAGACTCACATGCATCCTTTTTATTAAAATGCTTGAAGGTCTTAAGAGCAGGAACCCATTTGTAAACACCGGTTTCTCCACATGCAAAGTATCCTAATAAATAGGTTAAAGCTGGTTGGAGTTCTTTGCGAGATTTGGCTTTATAAAAAAGATCTCTAAATTTATTTTGATTAAATTCTTTGGAAGGTGTACCTAATATACTACTCATTTTTTGATAATAATACTTTGTACCTGGATTTGTTTAATTCTTTGGTTAATTATTCGGATAAATTTTTTTATGTAATACCTATTATGCAGATTAATTCAATTTGATTTTTGCACGGGATATTTTTTTATGTAATATGTATA